CGAATCAAATTGAGGAGAATGGGCTATAATGATACACCACGCTGGTCCAGTACATACTGGTGGGTATCGACGAATGCAGATGCAGCCGGGACTAACGACTTAACGTGTCAAAATTCTTTGACCAACTTAAAAATCAAAAAAAAGGAGGTTCTTTGTTCAATCGGTATGTATTTTCACCGATTTTCTGCCTGTAGACTTATTTTCATAATTATTAGGTAGTTTTAACAAAATAATTAAAACCGTTGTGACAAAAACAAAATCACTTAGACGTCATATTTATGTCAGCTAAAAAAAAAGAGCGTATTTTACTTTCCTAGGATTTTTATGGACAAAACCCACAATGATTATTAATATTGAACTTGGCTCTAATTTCACATTTATGCTTTTGTAGCGATATAAAGAACTCATGTACCTACAGTTTTATGGGACATTACTCGTATTTATTAATTTCAGCTCACCTTTCCCGTTCCCCTCGTTCTGAGGTGTACCGATAAGTCAGTGAAACAGTTACACGGATAAATCTTTAGTCCTTTAATTAAATCTATATGACAGTTGGTGTTCCCGTCATACCTGACATTGATGAAACTGCTAATCCATCATTTTACTAGCCGTACAGATGTCATAGAAGAAAATTTATATTCATAAAAGCTCGGTAAGCTATTAAGGTATTGATTATCTGACTCGTATCTATAGTCTTTAAAAGTAATTATTTGAGAAAATGACATAAATAAAGTTAATATTTTGAACAAATAAACAAGAATTCAAATGAAGAAAGACTTTAGATACGAAGTAAAAGCCATTCATCTATGTTGCTCGACAATCTTTGGATCAAGATCTTACCTATGTGTCGAATTTCTTATAAAACGGTCCAGAAGCTGTAACAAACGGACAGACAGATAACCGAGTTGTCCCAAAGACTTCTATAATTATTTTATCGGTACGGAACTCTAAAAAACATTTCCTTTCTTGAAGTCTGTTAAAAAACATCTCTATGTCTTCAAGTGGGGCCATTGTCCAAATAATCCGCAACAATGAGTGTTAAGTTTAATCTTTGTCGTACTATAAGTGAAAGTTGCATGGAGACAGATGAAGGCATTCTGACATTCTATGTATGTTAACATTAGCAGACAATCGGACTGTCGGGTCTTTCAATTTCACTTTATAATTGCAGAGAATGCAAAACTTTTATTGAAAAATATACTGGAAAATATTCTTAATGAAAAACGCTTAAAAAATCCACTAGTACTCTGATGGGGTTTTTCATTGTGAAAATTCTCCTCTGTTTGATTTAAATTTAGTTATAAAATATTCTCCTCTGATTATAGTACTAATAAGATGTTATTTTTAAAGGAAATGTATTTCCTTAATAGTTGAAAGTGTATCTATTTAGTGTGTAAACTACGTCATACGTCCTTCTACGGTCGGTGGATATGTGATGGAAAATGCGTCACTATTCGTATATCTTACATCAGATTTGCACCATCCTTACTAAGAATGGTCATTATTTGTATGAAATAGACTCCGAAATTATAACAGGAAGCTGCATCACACACGGGTGACATATGCTATAATTTACGAGGTAGAAGTCGCGGGAAAACAGCTAGTCTTGAATAATAATAATAATAATAAGATTTATTTCTCTCCACAAACCATTACACTTATAAAATATAATAAATCTTAAACCTAATTTTGGTTGTGGATCGCTGTTGCCTGTTTTAGGTAATTAAAACCTGTTTGCACAGGACACCAGGTCCCCACCTCTCAGTGGTAATTACAATTTACGACATATAAGTTCAAAAATTATACATAAGAAAATAATTACAGACAAATCAAGAAATGTAGTTAAGAGAGCGCGTAAGCTATGGGTCAACCAACTTGATTGGTTTGAACAAAGAAACAACTTCCAAACAAGCTGCAACCAAAAGTGGGCAAAGTGCGTTACATATGTTTGATTATTAGCTGGTTCAATATTAAGAATATGGATATATGTGAGGGTGTATGGATGTACGCATGTTTGTTACTATTTCACGCAAAAACTAGAGAAAGGACTTCGATGAAGTCTATAATGCCAATAACCAGTATCGATCACACCAAGACTTAAAACTTAAGTCGATCGACAATTAACTTGTAATAAATCAAGAATCTGAACAATTATATATAGTTATTTTTTTAAACGCAAATATACAATTTTGTTGAATTAATTATGTTACAAAGTAGGTTATGCAGTAATGCATTTAATTTCGTAAAAGTAAATTGAAAGGTTAATTAATCCTAGAAGCCTATTCTACATCTGCTAGACGTTCTTCTTCTTCTTCTTGACTGTTCACCGCAACTCGACACCTGGTGCCTGTTTTGCGTGCAAACAGTGGAGGCCTTAGTCCTGCCAACTCAGTTCATCCAAGAAGGATTGTAATTTCTTGATGTCATTGCAAGTGTCCAGTCTGCAAGACGTACACAAAATAGAATATTCGCTCTACTTTTCAAACGGGCGAAATTAGCGCATCGTGCTGTTTATCCAACTCAGAACTTCACAAATCTTGCCGATAATGTCAGTAACATTTTCGACATATTGAACCGATACTGAAAATTCCTCTTTGTACCCAACATACAAACAGAGAAAAAATATATTAAAAATCGTTAAGTTGTACTCTATTAGTAATTTAGTATTGCCCTCAATCAATTTCTTAAAAATATATTTAATGTACAGATACACGATTTTTACGATTTTTCAGGAAAGGCGATTTTACAGTAGTCGTACTTCATCATCATCATCATCACCAGCACTTTTACGTCCCCACTGCAGGAGCTCAGGCCTTCCTTATGGATGGTTAAGGAGTATGGGCCATGACCGTCCACGCTGGCCCAATGCGTATTGGAGGGTATTAACGACTGCAAATGCAGCCGGGACCAACGGCTTAGCGTGCCTTCCGAAGCACGGAGTAGCTCGAGATAATAATTTTTTGGTCACCCATCCCGTGACCGACCCCTGCGAAAGTTGCTTAACGACTACGATCGCGGGCCGCGGCGCTTATCCACTAGCCACCGAGCTACTCATACTTGTTATTGATATATTCAACTGGGATTGCCGTTTCATTTGATAAAACCGTGTTTTACTATTAATTAACTGTGCTTTATTATACCTTAATATCCTTTAAGAATTCAGATAAAAGTAGTGTATTATTTGTCTACAGTTTATTTTATTTTATTTTATTTTAAGTAATCATCTCCATTTCATATGCACGCCTTTGAAATGTACGATTAGGTTTTGTGCAACATTCAGATAGATTAGGCTTCTATAATTAAGCTGAGTTATAAGCGACACCAAATTTCTCTTATTCCGAATTTATAAATAACTCAATATCGCCAAAAATCACACTCTATCAGCCCTGAGTGATGAGTATCATACAGTTATGCCCATTAAGATATTTAATATATATATCGCACACCTAGATTTAAACTGAGACAACTCAAAAACTTGAGTGAGTTTTGACTTAGTACAATATTCAAATACTCGGTGATCATACGCATCTATCCAACCTAACAGATTCAATAAAGGTTCGGGGATGAGCCGCTAGATAACTTTAGCTTTCTTTTGTTGAATCAACAGTGGTCGCGCTCCTGCCACATAAACAAACGTATTGTCAGACCTCCACATAAATTTTTTGAGTTGTCTTAGTTTAGATCTAGGTGTGCGATATATATATATAAAGTAACTTAGATAATTGGACAAATTTCAGTTTCATCTCAAATATTCGAGTAACTTTGAATCAAAAAACTGACACATTTATCATAAGTATATAATCAAAAACATTTTTATACAATACACCCTTACCTGTCTCTGTCTATTCAATAAGAAAAATGAGAACATACATCACCAGCCGGAAGACGTCCACTGCTGAACATAGGCCTCCCCCTTTGAACGCCACGACGGACGACATTGCGCCAGCTGCATCCAGCGGCCGCCCGCGACTCGGACGATGTCGTCCGTCCATCTAGTCGGGGGTCGACCCACGCTGCGTCTTCCGGTTCGTGGTCTCCACTCAAGAAACTTGAAAGAAAAATGAAATAAATGAATAATAATAATAAATTGAAGAGAAAAATGAGAAAGATGTTGGCTATTTTACAGCTTTAACGCATTCATAAATAAATTAATACAGGATCTAAAAGTTTACTACAAATCGAGACAGAAAACCGACAAAGTACAAGTCTTGAATGAAAGTATTAGTAAATCTTATTATATAAATAGATGTTTATCCTTGCGTACTTTATTGCACCTTTAATTAAGTACTTTAACATCAATTCTTCTATCCTAGCTCTCGAGAGTTTATTACATGAAAGCTTCTAAGTACCAAGTGCCAACCAGTTAAGTGAGATACCTTTGTCTAGTCTATTTTTTCGGTTTTGTTGAATGAGTGTGATGCGTAGCAGCTCAAAATAAACTGGTTAATGTAAAAGTGACAGGTGACATACGATACTTAAGTTCCGAATACAATTTTATTTCATATTTTTATGTGTGTACTGCTTCATAAATTTTGTCTTCAGGAGTCATCTAATAATAAATTACGTCATATGTTTTTCACAAGTTTTGACGCCATTGTTGTCAAAGCTGTTCACATTTTTAAGAATCTCCTTCACTAGTATGACACTAAAAACTAGTAAGCACTAATTAGTTTTATTTTCATTTAAATTAAATTTTAATGGAAATATAAAAAAAAAATATTTCCCATATCATAAACTTTAGCTCTAGCCACTGCGAAACTCGCTTATTTCAAATTCAATAGACTATTTTTACTCTCTAAGATAATTACTGAAATATGTTTTGAAAAAATAAATTGGTTCGAAATACTGTACTAGCCTTTTAATATTTTCTCTGACGGGGTGTAGGCTTCCCTTATGGATTTTATGGATGGAACTAGATAGAGACATAGGGTCACCCACCGTGCTGACCTATTAGTAAGATGGCTCCAACAATTAACGTGCCTTCCGGAGCACGTAGGAACTCAAAGTAATAGATTTTTGATCAGCCGTGCGTTTGAAGAAGCTGTTTTATTTCCGCAATCACAGACAGAAATGAAATCAATGGTATATTAGAACTACTCCTATCGACTTTAGTCACCCGTATCCGTATATGTATCAAATCCAACTTTCATGTAATTTCTGCACATTGTGAAGTGTTATTTTAATATCTTCTTAATTCAAATTTCATGCCAAGAATCTTTTTTCTTTTTCTCACACGGAACTTTCCATATGCACCTGTCACAAACTTGTTGCACAAACGTAAGCGCAGTGTTTCACACCAATAAGCTTAGTATAAAACGAGTACGGAGGCAGTTTCGCATGTACTCGCCTTCGAAGGTCAAGTGCGCGCGTCCGAGTCATTGCTCCTCGCGCATCGCATAGTTGCGCCGGCGCACTCCACAAGAAACCTTCAGTTCGACGCGACGGTAAGTAGCTTTGAGCTTTCTGTCACTTTTATGCGTTCGAAAATGGAACTTCATAAAAAATTATGAATTTGAGAAAATATTTAATACAGCGCCAGTAGAGATACTAGAAATAAAAATACAAATAAAAACAATGAGATTTAAATATGCATAATTATATGGTATACGACACGAAGCCTGCAAAATACTTTCGAAACGTTCAGTAGTGGTTTTGTTAAATAATTATACGCAATTATATAATATAATATATATAATAATACGAAACAAGTACTTTTATTTTTGAACAACAGAAATATCATAGTTAAAATTGAAAATTTATTGTTCGTAAAAAGGGACTTGAAATAACGCAGTAAAAATCTATGTACATCTAAATTTGAGAATTATAATAAAATTATCAAAGCAATATAACTTAGTGGAGTTAATTTAGATGTGTACATTTCATGTTCTTAAAACCAACCGAAAGTAATAGAAGAAATACTTGCATATGTTTTAAGCTTTTCGTATCAATTAAGAAGTATAATTCTATCATCTTAGTTATTCTTAGAATTGAAAACGCAAATTGACAGGACTCAAAGTACTTTATCAAACAGAATTGTTCACAATAATGTAGCTTAAGCTATTCTTTATACCCCTTAGTAGAAAGCTTAGAATTTTGATGATGATGCTGATGTTTAAGAACTAGATTTTGTTATTTTTTATAACTTTTTTGATAAAACTCATTATGACATTGATAAAAACAGAACTTTATTACAAATAACTCGGTTGAAAATTCATGAATTTGATTCCTTTGCCTTCGTATTTCTAAAATACGGTTTCACAAAAACTAAACAACATTTTAGTGAACTTTAATTGTTTTTACGTACAATTCCAAAACACAATTTCTTTATAAAGTCTAACCTGATGTCAGATTTAATATTATAATCGCCTGTTAGAGTTAATGGAACAGTACTCGCTTATTTGGTCCAACCCCCAAATAGGATAAGGACTTATCTCTCTTTTCATCCCCTTTGAAAAACTTTACTATGTATTTAAACTAGTGCATTACTAAATTTCTTCTAAATTGGTTTATCGTGAAATCTTAACTTGCGTAATAATATTCAACTTACGCATTTACAATATTACATCTGCAATCTGAATGTTGTTTTATCTTCCTTTTTAATTGCCTTTCAGATCCTTTGCTTTCGAATTGTAAATTTTAAGCTCCATTGATAAGATACAATTTAATTAATGTTACTTGAGACACCGAATTCTTAAGTTACTTTAATGTTGTTTTAAGTTATGAGAAAAGAAAATAAAGTTTAAATATTATATCGTAAGTGAGTACATGCCTTAAACTGGATTCTAAGCAACACCTGTCGATATAAGCAAAGCTGGTACGTAAACGATTTCATACAATTCTTGTTTCTTAGACAATATTAAATAAAATAAAAAACATATGATCATTGCTATATATTTACCAACAATGAATAAAATTGCTTATGAAATTATACTCAACTAGCTTTCGCCAGCGGCTTCGCCCGCGTGGACCCTAGGGAAATGTTTAGTGGGATAAAAAGTATCCTATTATCTAAGTCAGCTAACACCCTATCTGTATACCAAATTTCATTAAAATCCGTTCAGTAGTTTCGGCGTGATTGATGTACAAACATCCAAACAAAGAAACTTTCACATTTATTATATTAATAATAGGATATTATTATCAAAATAGAAAAGTTTATCTATACTTATATAAGAAAGAGGAAAGATTTTATTGCTCGTTTGCATTGAATAAACTCCAAAACTAATGGACTTATTTTAAAAAGCTATATCAAACGCGGGTGACATGGTCTACAATTTACTCGAGCGAAGACGCCAAGAAACAGCTAGTTTATTAATAAAAAAACAAATGACGTCAACATTTGAAAGTGATAAATTTTAATTCTTTCATGGTAATATCTCCTCTGTTTGAAAAAAAAAATTATATCTGATTTTCTGATTTAAATTCAAAAGTTGGCTACAAAGAGCAGCAACTACCACGACTACGCTCTGATAATTAAGTGATAATTACGATTAAAAGTTCCAAATTAAATGATAACATATAGTTTGGTTGTGATATACGTACGTCAAATTACTTTTTTTCTTTACATATAGAAATATTAAACATGTAACACAGATCAAACTATTGAATTATGTTAAACCCAAATACAATGCGTATTAATGTGCAAATTTAAATAAATATGTAATAGCTATATCACAGCCAAGTGGTATGAAATGAAATCAGCCGATCAATCGGGCGGCTAGCACTTTAATCGACTTGCGCCATTCAATTAACCGCCTGATCGTTCAGCCCAGTAGCTAGTAGCAGTAGCAGCCCAAAGGTTAGCCAACTAATTAACTGTCAATTCATCGAGTATACTGAAATTGATTGGTAGTTAATTTATTTATTTATATATAATTTATATAAAACTCCAAACTCCTTGATACAATCTGTAATCGATCCAGATACAGGACTGATAAAGAAGGTAATAACAAACTGCTTATTCGCGAACGAGTGAAAATATGATCGAATAGAGGTAGCTATGGTACACTCCCACTACATGAGTGAGTTAAACTTCAGCATTCATAATAAATACTTTATACTAATACAATCATATACAGGCAAGATATACCGCGATTCAGACTGCCACAGCGTCATCTATCGAAAATGAGAGTAAGCAATATATTTGACTGCAGTTATTTTATTATTACAAAAGTTAATAACAACATAAAGTGATAAATTATCAAATTTGTAGGCTTGTAGGACCCGTGATAGGTTAGAAATTTAAGATGATCGCGAAGCGTAGCGTAGCTGTATTCTTAAATTTCGGCAGGCTTTTAACAGATAACAAAACTAAGTGAACCCTTTTGGCGGCTTTTAAATCAGCCATCTTATTGAACGGTCCAAATGCCATAATGATTTAACTAAAAAACTAGACGTGCTAATCGAATGGCGCCTTATAATTAAATGGCTAGGCCGCCGAATTCAACAGCTGTTTTATCCAGTTGGCTGCGACAGATACAATGATAGCTAGTGGGGATGAGGACTGTAAATTAAAACTAATGGATGTATGATAAAATATAATAACAATAATAAATCACAAATCACAGCAAATGACAATATCCAACAACAGCAAACAAAGAGTAAGTAAAAGAACAATATAAAAAATATGACATAAACTAAATCAAAAAGGATGGCGCTTTCCAGCCAGTCGCCTACATACACAATCAAACTATTTTTAATAAGGATGGTTTTTAAATATTTGGAATCACAAAATGGGTGAAAAGAATTTATTTACAAATGTTATCGTACCTATCCTATGTGAAACGGACTATAATCAACTTACAATAGATACAAACAATAAATACGAATCTTTCAAAATTTTCAACAAATGAATTACTTTCTTTATCCTGTCCTCCTTTAGTAATCCAACCCAAAGTTTCTGGTGGCCGAGATGGGCTTTTTGAATATTTTGGATGTAAACAAAGAAATATAGGTAATCAAAGAAATTTGCTATATATTAATGACATTTTTTTTTGTTATAAATGGTTCAACAGTTATTTTTTCAAAGTAAGCGCATCAGAATGACTGACAAAAAGTTTAATGGCTATTGCATGTCAGTCAAAAGCATAGAGTAAATAAAACGAAAGAGGTCTTTGCCTTCTAAACTTTTTTTTTATTTGCGCGGCGCTTCCGTGTTGATAAATAAGATTGAGGTAGATAACGAGAGCGGTATATCTGTTTCATTCTAGGAACCGTGTTAACAAATCACTTTTACCAGTTAGATGTTGTTTAAATTTATAAAACTATAATTTATACTCAGCTAATTAACTCATTTGAATGAAGTGCACTGAAATCCGTATTACTCATAATAATGCTTTTTCATTGTTAAACTTCGACTTTAACATCGATAATACCCACTTTACAAATAGATACTGCAAATATATTCAAATATCATGAACCTATTAGTGTCCCCTACTTTGGCACAAGTCTTGCCTATGGAAAGTTAAGACAGGGAGACTCTATCATGTACCATGACTGGTTGGTTGTACTGGGATACCAAGGACTGCAGGTGTAGCTAAGATCAACGTCCTAACGTGCCTTCTAAAATAAAAAGGAGCTGGAGATGATAATTTTTGGTCACCCATCCCATTACGAGACAAAATGCGCCTACCAATGTGTCATATAACTCCTCAATTTATACAAAATATTACAAGAAAATTTAGTCAATTTTTATTCTATTTATTTTTTAAATTAACAGAATTTTTATTTCGTTACTTCGTTAGTCGGTACTCATTTATCGCTTGTGGCCCATTTACACAGGCCAACAAGTTCCCCATATGGAATACGCGCGATTGCTATAGGTAAATTTCATTGGTCATCGGTTGAATGGTGTTTTAAACCAATGAAATTAACCCACAAAAGTCGTCTTACTACCTCTTATAAACTTAGTTTTTGCTTTAAACTAGCTTTCCTCCAGCAGCTTAAACCCTATATAAACTTCACCTCCCCCCCCCCCCATTTCACCCCTTAGGTATTGAATTTCTAAAAATCCCTTTGTAGTGTTCACTTTCATCATGAAACGAACCCCTGCACCAAATTTCAAGTTTCTAAGTACAGTTGATTACAATAAACCAGTCAGGTTTGTCTTTTATATTTATAGATATTTACTACCAATTTCAGTTATAATTTCCACTTGTCCGGCATCTTGTCTTAGCACCAACTAATTACTTACTTAATGTTTAAGACAGCTTTTTGTGTTCTCTCCGACAATGTACCGTTAAAAGCTAACAACCGAAGCTAACATGTATCTTCCGACATACGAACATTATTTTACCGAAATCGTGCATCTTGGAACAGTTTCATGCATAGTTTTGATTTAATTAACAATGAATATACTTGATTTATTAAAAATAACTATTGTGCATGCAATTACAATTTTCTCTACCGATACATAAATCAAATTAATGTGCTTTAACTAAATGCT